GGGGGGGGGGAAGCAACTCACCAGCTTGCAAATACGCCACACCATCCTTGACGAGCATCGTCCGCAACGCAATGCACGTATCCATAGCACCCTCCACCTCCTCGCCCTTCTCATCAACGCCCCCGTACCCGAAATACCCAACCGCGCCCGCATAAATCCCCCTCTTCTCCTTCTCGAGCTCGGCGATCAGCTCCATGGCGCGCACCTTGGGGGCGCCCGACACCGTGCCCGCGGGGAAGATGCTCCGAAAGGCGTCGAAGCGCGTCTGCCCGGCCCGCAGCACGCCCGAGACCTGCGAGACGAGGTGCTGGACGTGGCTGAACTTTTCGACGACCATGAGGTGGTCCACGCGCACCGTGTAGGGGTCGCCGACGCGGTTGACGTCGTTGCGCGCCAGGTCGACGAGCATGACGTGCTCGGCGCGGTCCTTGAGGGAGCTGCGCAGCTCGTCGGCGAGGCGCTGGTCTTCCTCGGGCGTCTTGCCGCGTTTCACGGTGCCGGCGATGGGGTGGGTGATGACGCGCCCGGCCTCGGACTTGACGAGGAGTTCGGGGGAGGCGCCGACGATTTGGAAGTCTTTGCAGTTTACGTAGAACAGGTAGGGGGAGGGGTTCACCGTCCGGAGGTGGCGGTAGATGTTGAAGGGGTGGAGGGTGGTCGGGCGGGCGAAGCGCTGCGAGGGGACGGCCTGGATGATGTCGCCCTTTACGATGTGCTTCTTGAGCTCCGTGACGTGGGACTCGTAGCCCTGCTGGCCGACGTTGGAGGTGTACTCCTGGCCGAGCTTGATGGGCTGCTGTTCGGGGATGGGGATGTCGGGGCTGTTGAGGACGGCGACGAGCTCGTCAATGGTCTGCGTCGCCTTTTGGTACTCGGCCTCGAGCTGGGCCGCGTCCTCGGGGACGTGGAGGTAGGTGATGACCTTGAGGACGCCGTAGAAGCGGTCAAACGCGACAATGGTATCAAAGAGCATGAACAGGGACTCGGGGATCTGCAGCACGTCCTTCATGGGCCGCGCCGTCTTGGGCTCAAAGTAGCGCACGCAGTCGTAGCCCACGTAGCCGACGGCGCCGCCGGCCATGGGCGGGAGCTGCAAGCCCGGAACGTGGGCGACTACGTGCTGTGCCAGCTCGGCCTCGAGGGCCGGCAGGGGGTCGCACTCAGGGCCATGGCCGGGACCCGTGGCGAGGACCTTGCGGGGCCCGGCGCCGACGAAACTGTAGCGGCCGACTTGTTCTGTGGCGGCGCTCTCGAAGAGGAAGGACAAGTCCGAGTCCTTGTGGTGGGCCGAGACCTTGAGGTAGGCGGCGGACGGGGTGATGAGGTCGGAGGAGATTTGGCGGTAGACGGGGACGAGCGTGGGCTTCTTTGCGGCGTTGGTCGTGGCCGGGGAGGTGAGGATGGACCTGACCGTCTCGAGGGACGGTACGACTGCGCGCTGTGAGGCGGTATTGTTAGCTTTTGTGTGTCTTTTGACTTCTTTGTAGCAGGCCGGCGGGAGGTCAATTGAAGAACTGGCAAGACTTACCGGTCCCGACATTCTGATCCGGTCCGTTGGCGAAGCTGGGAATACGTCGGTGAGTCGCTGCGTGGAGAGCAAGTTGGTGTGTTTGGTCTGTTGATCTGAGTCACCCGCATCCAAAAGGTTGGACTTGTATTGAATTATTTAGCCTCCGATGCGTGGAGGGGTCACACATAGTCCAGGCAGGGTGGTAGGGTCCGATAACGCGGAATTTGGCTGCCGTTGCGCTTCGATAAGGTGAGAGACAAGGCGTTGCCATTAGTGGCACCTCCGCTGCGTGTGCGTCAAGGATCAGTGACACAACGGGACCCCACCGCCAGCCCATTGCTCCGCCAATCTGGTCTAGATCGATGACCTGAATGAGTAAGAGAGTCAAGACAGCTCACGTATCCCCGGTAAGGTATGATAAATGAGTTCGGTCAGAAAGAAGACACGCCTTTCCAGGCGAGAGTTCAGCTATAATTGATGATACCTTATTGCTGCACAAACATGAGCTGCGTTTTTGCTACATATAAATCAGTCACCATTCATCAACCCATTAGAGGACCAAGCTGACCGGCTGCCCCATTTCTTCCCGTCCCGCCTTACATTTCCTCGCGTTTCCTCTGATGGTACCTGGCCGGAAGAGAAGTTTTCAGCTCTCGACAGACAGCGCCTTGACGCCCACGAGCTTCGCCTCCTTGCCCTTCCCATCCGTCGTGACGAGCCAGTACTCCGTCCGGACACCGCCCTTTGGCACCTTGTAAACTCTAACGTCGTTGCCCTTGCCCGCCTTGCGGACCGCCTCAATGACGTCCTTGTAATCGCCGTTCGAGTCCCAGTCCACAGGGTCCAGGAGCTCCACGTCCGCGTTCTCGGCGTCGGGGTGATCGATAAGTTGCGCGAATTCGACTACACATGTCATACATTAGTCACTTTGTCTTGCAAACATCGCAGGCATATTTCCTCTCCCCTGGTGTGAAAAGGGCAGGAGGCAGGAGGCAGGAGGCAGCAGGCACGGCACAACTCACCTTCGTCCGGCAAACCTTTGCCAGCCTCATCCCACTGCAGCGCGACGCCGACAAACGGCTCATCCGCGTCCGAGATGTACACTTTATCCTGCTTCAACACGTCCTGAATGGCCTTGGGTACCTCGACGCCCTTGTCTTGCGCCTTGAACTCCTTGCTCTTGCTGGTCGTGGTGGCGTGTCCCTCGTTGGGGTCCTGGTTCGCCTTGTCCAGGAACGCCGCGTAGTCTGCGTCGGACATTTTCAAGTGTGTATACGTCGAGAACGTGCTGGTGGTTATCTGACGAGGCGAGAGAACCTTGCTCGTGCTGCAGCTGCCTGGCGCAGTACTCAGCCGTCGTAGTACGAATGGGTTGCGCGGGATGGAGATTAACGTCGATGAGGAGAGGGTTCGTTGGCAGAGATTTCGATAGAGCGTTCGCGGGGTAGTGGTCTTCATTCGCTTCTTATGGGTTGCGGACGAGCTGAATAGCGTACTGGGGGGTGTCAAGGTCGCGAACTTGGTTCGCGGGAAGCTGCACGCCATGGTTGGGTACAGATAGAATGACGCAACGAGGGGCCGGCTAGCTACGCCTCACGTCGCTCCCGCTGGTCAGACCTTGCCGCCCCACCATCTCGGTATTGGCTGGCTGTCGATACTAAGCGCCCACATTTTTGAACGAATTTCGTACTCCGCACTGCAGCTGTTGCTACAGCTTCTACTTATCAATTGTCTTCCAAGTCAAGTACAATTGCAATCACATTTCACAAGCCACACGAGGGATTACAAGTGGGTTGGTCATCTAGGTATCATTGGTTTGACTTTTGAATTCTCGGCACTCATTTTAACCTCAAAGGTGTCCCAAACCATCCGAAAAGTAACGTGAACCCTCTACACCGATGCCATGACCATGATACAAAGAAATTTGATGAGAAGAAGGAATTTACTGAGCAGCAAGGTCCTTCTTGAGGGTACCCTGGTACTGCTTCTTCTCCGCCGGCGTCTGGAAGGCACCGTGTCCGAACTCGGACGAGGTATCGATCCACTTGAGGTCGATCTTCTCGAGGGCCTTTCTCGAGGTGTGGGTGAACATGGACTTGCGGAGAGTCATGACACGCTTCTTGGTACCGGGAATGGAGCCCTTGACCATGACGAAGTCGTTGTTGATCTCACCGTAGCGGACGAAGCCACCGAGGCTGTGAAAATTGTCAGTAAAATTGCTATGAAATCAACACGTTAGAGCAGAAACATACGGAGTGATGGTCTTCTTGGTGACATCGATCTCAGTGGAGGCGCTGTTGTCGGAACCGGCCTTGCCAATGCGGTAGACCTTGTGGTTGACGGAAGTACGGTGGTGGTATCCGTTCTGACCGGCACGGGCGACAGTCCACTGGACGTGGGAAGGATGCCAGGCACCGATACAGGCGACCTTACGCAGACCCTTGTGAGTCTTGCGGGGAAGCTTCTTGGTACCCCAACGGGCGGTGACACCCTCGAATCCGTGACCCTTGGTGACGGCGATGACATCGATCATCTCGTCCTGCTCGAAGATGGAGCCAACCTCGACGGGCTTCTCGAACAGACCGTAGCCGAAGTCGACCTTGTCGGCGACGGAGCCACCGTTGATCTGGATCTCCATGAGGTGGGCCTTCTTCTGCTTGATGGGGGTCTTGCGGGGCTGGGTGTGGGCGAGGACGCGGACGACGGTGCAGTACTTCTTGATGCGCTCGATCTCGCGGGTGATGGAGGCGCCAGAGTTCTCGGAGTGCTGCTTGGCGTACTTGGTGAAGGCCTTCTTCTTGGACTTGTACCAGTTCTTGTAGAAGCGGCGGCGGATCTCGTCGCTCAAGTGCTCGGCCCAGACGGTGGTGAGCGAGCGCAGGCCGCGGGGGGTCTCGATGTAGCCCACAAGACCAACAACGATCAACTATAGAGTTGTTAGCCATAGGCACAGAGCCAAGCGGGCTGCGTTGGTAGTACAGGTGGGGTATCAATGATGGAGACGGCCTCGACGACCTCCTTCTTGTTGGCCTTGGCACCGGGACGGTCGAGGTCGCGAACGATCGTGGTCATACCGGCCTTGTAGCCCATGGTGGCCGTCAGGTGGACGGGCTTCTTGGCATCATCCTTGGGGAAGCTGTGCAAGAGATTGCAATTGTCAGCCTCTGTCTTCACTTGGCCCAAGTCTCGAAGAAAATATTGCGAAAAGTGGTAAAACTTACGACTTGACCTTTCCGCGGTGACGGGCAGCACGCTTGCGCGGCAGGTAGGCCAAAGACTGAGTAACGTTAGCCGAAGTTATAGTAATTGTCGAAATAGGTGCAACTGACGCCGTGTCTGGGTGCCTCGTACTTGCGGTGCGACATCTTGATGATTGACCTGGAGGTTAGTTGTCGGGTTCAATCGAGAGGAGTGACGATTGGGAAATTTCTCAAAGTCGGGATAGCTGAGGCTGCAAAAATGTCGTGTGGGCGGATTTCCTCCTGCCGGGACGCATCACCCTAATCACGTGAGCGCAATAGCGACGAAAAAAAAAATCACTTTCCGCACTTTTCTCTCCCGCCTGGTCCAAGCGTCTTTTCCAAGGTCCACAATCAGCCTGAATCTTCCATCAGTGGAGGTGTACCTACTGTAGAGAGAAGGTACGTACCTGAGGACTGGATTGCATCCCACCAAGGAGCACGCCAAACACTTGAAGTCTCTGCCATTTGCACGATGCAGAGCTTTTCTGAGAGTACACGTTCGTTCGCCCCTGTAAGGGGTCGATTGGTCTGGACAGGTGAAGCCAAATATGGTTTAAAATTGTTTAGTCATTCAAGCAGTCTAGATTCACCACTACTTTTTCTCTTCATAAGCTACCGTAGTGCCTCAGGTAGACACACCAGCATCCCGTTGAAAGGGGATTCTGGAGATAGAACGAGGAACAGGAAGGAAATGGTATACACGATAAGAGAACACAGGATCCCTCAAGACAAATAAAACAAAGCAAACCACGTCAAAGCCGTTGATCCATTAAGTCGACTCAACCTTGGGAGTTGGCCCCATGAGGCCGTTGATGCTTGCGCTCGTAGGCGTCTTAGTCTCTCCCGACGCCGGAGCCGGGCCCGACCCGTTGGTAGTGGCGGCGGCGCCCTTTTTCTCATCCTCACCGCTATCGTCGTAGTCCTCATCAACGTCCATCTTTCTCGCTGCACGTTCGGGCTCGCTGGGCTGCGGAGGCCGGGGAGCAGGGGTGTGCTCAAGGGGCGGGCGCTCTTCAGCGGGGTACTCCTTGACGCCGGGAGCGGGCCCGGAAGCAGGCCCGGGTCCGTTCTGCGGTCCGTCATGGAGGATGTTCTGCATCGGCGCAGCAGCAGACTGCATCGGCGGGAGATGGTTGTTGGGCATAGGGTGGTTGGGTTGGTGGTGCGCGGCCTCTGACGGATGGTACCCGTCGTTGGCATGGCGCTGCTCCTCGCCCCTCCGAATGTCCTCTGCCCTTCTCTGATCATCCGCTCTCCGCTGGTCTTCGGCACGGCGTTGATCCTCAAAACGGCGTGCCTCTGACGAGTTGCGGCGGTACTGGTCCCGGGGTCCCGGAGGAGTCGATGGGCGGCGAGGGCGAACGTCGTCAAGCCTGGCTCGGTTCTCGTCGTTGGCCGGTCGCTTGTGAGAGGACTCCTCCTCCCACTCACGCATGCGCTTGGGGCCCACAGAAGGAGGACGGTCATGCTCATTGCGCTGCGATGCAGGGTCTCCGGTGATCGAGCCCGGAGGAGGTGGAGGCGGGGCATTAGCCTCCATGGGTCCGGGGGTGGGGCCGTCAGGGTGATGGCTGTACGGCGGTGGCGGAGGAGGTTGGTGTTGGGGGTACGCCGACTTGGGGGAGGGCATGCGGTTGTCATGCATGGGCCTCTCGCCAGGCCGGGGACTGTTGGTGCCGCGGAAGTGAGGCGGCTGGCTAGGAGGGCCATTGGGGCCGACGTTCATAGGAGGCATCTGAGCAGAAGACGGCTGAGTGTAGTTGGGGTTGATGGTGCGCGGCGCAGACGTGGGAGGACCCTGAGGCTGCTGTTGCTGCTGAGGCGGCTGCGGCGGTCCTGCGTAGTGAGATGGCGGGCTAGCCATCCGACGAAGCGGCTCGGGATACGGCGGGCGACCACCGTGTTGTTGCTGCTGCTGCTGTTGTTGTTGCTGCTGCTGTTGCTGCTCCTGTCTCGGGCTAGGCTGTCGCGGCATGGGGGGAGCTGGGCCACGGAACTCGCCACGCTGCTCATACGGGTTGGGTGGCTGAGGAGGAGGGTTGATGTCCGCAAGCCGACCCCAGCCGTTGCTTCCAGGACCGCCGGGTCCCGGAGGCGGAGGAGGCTGCTGTCCTTGCTGCTGCGACTGAGGAGCAGAGCTTCCCCACTGGGGAGCCGGAGGGCCGACCTGGTAAGCCTGGGGATGGACATCGGCAGGCTGGGGAGCGCTGGGAGGCTGTCCTCCGTTGGCGCCACCGTTTCTCAGCAACTGCAGACGAGCCTTGATGTGGGGGTTCTGAGGGTCAAGCTCTGCAGCGCGCTGGTAGGCGTCAAGCGCATCGCTGATCTGGTTGTTGCAAGATTCGTACTAAGTCGGTTAGTAACGTTGCCTTTTTTTTTCTTTTTTCCCTGTTCGATCTTGACAGGTTTTGCACTTACCAATGTGCCCAAGTCATACCAGACCTCGGAAATGAAGGGGTTGAGCCGGATGGCACGAGAGTACGCGTCGAGGGCATCGCGATATTGGTTGATCTGGTAGTACAGTACTCCGATAGAGCACCAGAAAGTCGGATTCCTTCCATCGCGGTAGACGGCCTGTTGGTAGGCTTCATATGCCTTGGGATACTTTTGTTGAGACATGTAGCACCGACCAAGAAGGTACCAGCTTTGCGCGTCGCCTTGGTCGGCGGCAACGGACTTCTCCAAGAACTCGATAGCTCGCTCTTGGCTCTGGAAGCTGCTGCTCTGCTGATGATGAAGCCAGCCCAGCTGTTGCAGAACCTTTGCGTGACTAGGATCGCGTTCCAGAACTCTCTGGTACGCAGCCTTGGCACTGTCGTACTGATGCGGGCGTTAGTTGCGGTATTTGTCAATTGCCGACGAGGAGATACTTACATCCTTCTGCTGCTCGTGAACGTGGCCAATTTGGAACCAGATGTCCTCCTCGGTGAGAGGAGGGGGTGGGGAGTTGACGATGTACTTGAAGCACTCTAGACTCTGGCCGTACTTCTGCTGTTGCTTGTATATTATTCCGAGACGGAAGTAAATTTCGTTGGCCTTTTCGAAGTCGGGCTGCATTTGCATAACCTGAGAAAAGGCCTCTTCGGCATGCTCAAGAGAGCCGTATCTGTCGTAAAGGATACCAATGCCATACCATAGCTTGGGCTCCTGTGCTGTATTAGTATTTGAAGAACCCAGAGAGCCGGAGGCAGCGCTACTAACCCTGGGGCTCCTCAAGTTGACCAAGGCGGACTGATATGCGGCGTAGGCTTGCTGCAAGTCGTCCATCATAAGGTAGCAGTGACCTGTGAGCAGTTAGCACGAGTCGCGTTGGTTGAGCATAGGGCGGGGACTTGTCACGCACCCAGGCTGCCCCATGCCTCGCCGTTGGTGTTGTCGATTTTGAGTATTGCTTGCAGGTAGTCAACTGCCTTGTGAAACTCTTCGCGCGTTCGCAGGATCAAACTGATGGCATTCATGGCCGCGACCGACTGCGGGTTTGCTTGAAGGGCGCGATCGTAGGCCTTCATTGCCTCCTCGAGGTTACCAAGAAGCTCAGCAAAACTGCCTGCATCAATTGTTAGAAGGAGCTGCGCGTATCTACGATGGCGATGCACTTACCAATCTGCATCCAGACAGCTTCGTTCATGAGGAGGATTTGTCGCGAAGGTGCATAGTTCTGCCCTTGCTGCATGCCCGGCGGCGGAGGGGGTCCAGGGGGGCCGCCGTGCTGCTGCCCCTGCATGGCCATGGTTGGCGAAGGGTGATGGTTCGCCATTGTGTTGGGAGTCGAGGCGTACTAGGTGTGCGCGTGCTCCTGTGAATGCGTCGATGGATTGTCTTGACGATCGCGCAAAGAGGCGCTAGATTCTACCAGCAACGACGTCGCAATTATAAAAGGTAGTTTTACTTGGAGAAAGATTTTAGACTAAAAGCGCGAGGCCATACAGTCTTTGGTCTTGTCTGTGGTGGTTGAGGAACAGCTCGCGGCTTCCAAGGGCGCGGGCTCAGTTGTTGCGACGAATCGAACGGATTGAGGTTCGACGTGCAACCGGTCAACGGGAGGCTGGGCGAGAAAGTCTGGAGCGGCGACACGGCAAAAAGCTACAGAAAAGCCAAACAAGAAGAGGATGATGATGAGGGTGATGGGGCAAGGGCGCAGAAAGCGCTCAAGACAAGACAATGATGATGTTTTGTGAGTAAAGAAGGGATGCGAGACCCGACAGCGATGGATCGAAGCGCCCCCGTTGTAGCTCAGGGCGAAGTTGGGGAATTGGAAAAGAAGGTGAGAGGGAAGTTGGGAGGCTGCGAGAATAGGTTCCATCACTCTCGCAAACTCACCTAACCCTCGAAAAGTACGTACTCTTTTACCCTTCCGTTCCTTTTCTTTTACTTTGGCGACGGCACGGGGTGCGGCAGAGCTGATCCATAGCGAGCGAAACGAGACGATGGGGACCAGGGGTGTGGATGGGTGTCTCATTAGGGTGCATGCTGCTGCCGGGGTGAAAGACGGGGCACGGATGGAGAACAAGCCAGCCCATCTCATCTGAAAAAGCAACTTGGCTAGCGTCCCTTTAGCTGGAGCCGATACCCACGGTGCCACACCCACGCTTCTTCCATCTTTCTCACGCTTCACCACCCGTGGCCGCTCACGCTCACGCCCATCCGCCCAGCCCATCCATCCGTCCATCCATCCATCCATGCCCATGTTCTCCCCCCCCCCCCCCCCCCCCCCCCCCCCCCCCCCCCCCCCCCCCCCCCCCCCCACCCCCCCCCCCACCCCCCCCCCCCACCCCCCCCCCCCCCCCCCCCCCCCCGTCGTCCATAACCATGGCCACGTCCACGCCGTCTGCCAGGCCCAGGTACGGAGTGCGAATACAAAGTACTTCGTACCATACATACAGATTTCATGGAGGCGGGCGGCGGGCACTCCCACTGAACGCAATGTCGCCCCTCGTCCCTCCCTCTCTTCCCCTCCTCTATTCGTACGGATACTTCCCAAGTTGCCATGGGTCATGGCTACCTTACACTGAAGGCATCCATCATCCATCCACCCATCCATCCATCGGCCTCTTGATTGCTTGCTTGCTTGGTGCTTGGCTCCTGCAGCTCCGAAATGGGGAGCAGAGAGGTGGATAACGTAC